CCAAAAAAAAGAAAAAATAGGCAGAGTTCAGAGGCAGGGAGCGCAGCTGGACTGCCTTTGGCCTGCTGGTCTTCTGCATGCTCCGGGAGACACATGTCTGGAGAGGTGACTAGCCTGGTTATTATGCGGCTCAAGGGGAACAAAAACAGTGACATTGGTTGCGGCCCTTGCAGTCCACGAGACCAATTGGTGTTGGCACCATTATGACCACAGGACAGAAAGGACAGTCTTTAGCTCTCATGTCCCCACCCGTCCCAGCTCTCGCGCTGATTAAACGGTGCTGCATTGTGCCAGCTGACCTGAAAAGTCTGAAGAAAGTAGCTTGAGCGATTGGTCACAATGAGGAAAGGGCTATCTAGTCCGCTGGTGTCCTCGCAGCGCCCTGGCCGCGAAGGCCCATCTCTTCCGGAATGACAGCACGGCTTTGTGTTCAGCCACGACTTCTTTCACAACGGACATGCTGGCCAGGCATTCCACGCTGGTAAGCATCATCACCATCATGTGATGGAACCGGGATCTACCTCATCAACTCCTGGCCCTCCTGCTGGGGAAGGTCCCGGGAAGTCCAGTCGATGACCCTCCACAGGGCAAGCCGCTCAACGGTGAATGCAGAGGCGAGATGCCAGGGTGGCAGGAGCCCTGCACTGCAGGATCCCGCTCTGTGCTGAGTTAAAGCCTGGACCGGTGGCCGTCCTCCTCTCTGCTCTGCAGACCGCGCACTTGTGTAATTGATCTCTCGGCTCAGGGCTAGTCGTGTGGGGCGAGCCTCCCAGCCAATCCTTGCCTGCCTTTAACTGTCTCTCCTGCCCCTGCTGTCCTGGTTCTAGCTTGAGCCTGGTTCCTTGCCTGACCTTCAGACCTACTGTAATCTTGTTCCTCTGGCCCTTTGTCCAGGATTCTATAACCCCATTAGTTGCACCACCGACACGTAGCCTCCAGCTGTGGAGCGCGCGCTCAGGCCAGGCCAGGCATTGCTCTGGTAAACAAACACCTCCGGATCCTCAGCACCTTCAAGCCCACAGGCCCGTTTCTTCCGCTCATCGGCTGTGTGCTTTCCAGGAGAGCCGGGCTCTGCTTCCTGTGATGTCTGGCAGGCAGAGGGTAGCCTGTATAAAATGTCGCCCCTTAGGCTGGCGCGGTGCTTACGCCTGTATCCCAGCACTTGGAGGCTGAGGGGGGCAATCCACCTGAGTTCAGGAGTTTGAGACCAGCTGTGGACAAATGAGAACAAACATCACAAACAAAAATAACATAACACAGAAAAGAGCATAAACAAGCACAAATAACACACAACACACACACAAAACGCTACGGGAGGCTGAGGCAGGAGAACGCTTGAACCCTAGAAGGCCGGAGTGCAGGGAGCGGAATCCGCACCACTGCACTCCACTGTGACAGAGTGAGCACTCCATCTCAAAAAAAAAAAAAAAGAAAAAAAATGTTCTCCCTTCGCCCTCCAGAAGCATGGACCGGTGCTAGGACCTTGTCTCCAGCCTTGTTGCCAGAGCCAGTCACGTCCCGTTAGCCAAGTAGTGTACCCAGAAGGGGAGGCGCGAGACAGTGGGGGGTAGCACGCAGATGGCGCCTCACGAGAATCCCCCCTGGTGCCTTGGTCGCTCATTAGGAAGGGGACAGAGAACTCACCGATTCCCTGTGCCAGGTGGCTCCTGGATCTAGCCGGGGTGAGCATCGCTGTTGGACCATTCGGACTCGGTGCACCGTGTCGCGCCCACGGCAAGAGAAGTGCCAGTGGGACCTGGCCTCCAGGATCAGGCCTGAGGGGCGTGAATGCATGGGGGGGTCCCGGCTGCCGGCAGCTTCGGCTAAAAGAGGGCCGTCCCTTCCCTTTGCATTTCAGGGGTTTAGCAGAGCAGTTGGATGCCCACAGCGTCGCCCAGAGATGAACACAAGCCTTCACGCATTCCTCACACCAAGGAACGGCAATCCGCCTCGCGACATCCGCGCTGACAATGATGACACTTGTTGGCGTGCCTGCACACCCTCCTTTGCCTGTAACGGGCCGCCTCCGCTTTTGGCATCACATCCGTTAGTGTATGACCATCACGATACATTGGATTGCTTGTATCGTTCGCACCACAGATTGGGAGAACAGGTGGCTTAGCGAGTTTTCTTGCTGCCCTGCGAGGAGCGCTGCCCCTTGTGGGCCTTGTCAGTGGGAGCACCAGAGCTGGGCCGACGAGTCCTTGTTCTCTGGGCCCTCTTCCCCTGAGTGTGGCAACAAAACTTACGAGGTTGAACTCGTTCTTCGTGGGTTCCAGTTATCTCCTGCCTCAGCCTCCCAATAGGTGCGGACTAACAGCGACTGCCACCAACATCCAGTCCCCAATTTTTCGATTTTGGCAGAGACGGGGTTCACCCATGTGGCCAGGCCCTGGTTCAAACTCTGATCTCATTACTCCACCTCGCCTCAACCTTCCAGATGCTGGGATTACAGGCATAGGCCACTGCGCCCGCCCACTTTTTTTTTTTTTTTTGAGACGGAAGTCTTGCTCTGTGCCCAAGGCGGAGTGCTGGCGCAATCCGGCCACTGCAAGTCCGCCCCCGGTCACGCCATTCCCTGCCCAGCCTCCCGAGTACGGGACTACATGCGCCACCACCGTCTGACCGGCTAATTTCTTGTATTTTTAGTAGAGACGGGTTCACCGGTAGCCAGATGGCCAAGCTCCACGTCCTGGGTTCACACCATTCTCCTGCCTCAGTCTTCAGAGTAGCTGGGACTACAGGTGCCTGCCACCACGCCCAGATGATTTTTTGTATTTTTAGTAGAGACGGGGTTTCACCATGTTAGCCAGGATGGTTTTGATCTCCTGACGTTGTGATCCGCCCGCCTCGGCCTCCCAAAGTGCTGAGGTTACAGGAGTGAGCCACCACACCCGGCCGACGGATTCTTTGTAACAGACAAAGACCTAAGAGCTAAAGGTCAAGAGCAACAGCAGCAGCAACGTAATTTAGGAACAAATCATCCACACCTCAGCAGGCTGAGAGCAGCAGGGGACCATCACCGAGACTTGGAATGAGGACTGAGATAATAAAAAAAAGGTGATGTTGATGCAATGAACCACCTAACCAAAAATGCTTCCTATCTTAGGAATACATCCATCAAGAATGGACACACAGGGCTGGGCGTGGCGGCTCACACCTGTAATCCCAGTGCTTTGGGAGGATGAGCCAGAGGATTGCTTGAGTTTGAGACCAAACTGGGCAACATAGTGAGACCTCATCTCTACAAAAAAATTTTTAAAAGGCTGGGCACAGTGGCTCCCATCTGTAATCCCAGCATTTTGGGAGGCCGAGGCAGGCGAATCACAAGGGCAGTAGATCAAGACCATTCCTGTCTAACACAGTGAAACCCTGTCTCTATTAAAAATACAAAAAATTAGCTGGATGTGGTGGCAGTCGCCTGTAGTCCCACCTACTTGGGAGGCTGAGGCAGGAGAATAACTTGAACCCAAGAAGAAGCGAGTTCCACCTCAGTAAGTTTTCTGCACACTCAGGGGAAGAGGCCCAGAGAACAAGGACTCTCGGCCCAGATCTGTGCTCACTGACAAGTGCCCACAGGCCAGCGCTCCTCGCAGAGGCAGCAAGAAAACTCGGCTAAGCACTGTTCTCCCAAATCTGTGGCAGAACAGATACAAGCCAACCAATGTATCGTGACTGCTCTACACTAACGGATATGCCAAAAGCGGAGGCGCCCGTTACCAGGCAAAGGAGGTGTGCAGGCACGCCCACAAGTTGTCATCACTTGTCAGCGATGTCAGCGAGCGGGCGGCATTGCCGTTCCTCTGGTGTAGGAATGGCGTGAAGGCTGTGTTCATCCTCTGAGCACGCTGTGGGCATCCAAACTGCTCTGCCTCAAACACCTGAAATGCAAAGGGAAGGGACGGCCTCTTTTAGCCAAAGCTGCCGGCAGCCCGGACCCCCACTCATTCACAGCCACCTCCAGGACCTGACTCCTGGAGGCTCAGTCCCACTGCACTCTCTCCGTGCAGAGCACACACGGTGCCACCAGTCCAATCGTTCCCAACAGCATAGCTCCACCCCCGGCTAGATCAGGAGCCACCTGAGCACAGGAATCGGTTGAGCTTCTCCTGTCCCCTTCCTAATGAGCGACCCAAGGCACCCGGGGGGATTCTCGTGAGCGGCCATCTGCGCTGCTCCCCACCTGTCTCCGCCTCCCCTTCTGGGTACACTACTTGGCTAACGCACACGTGACTGGCTCTGGCCAACAAGCTGAGAGAAACAAGGCTCCTAGCACCGTCCATGCTTCTGGAGGGCAGAAGGAGCAACATTTTTTTTCTTTTTTTTTTTTTTTGAGATGGAGTCTCACTCTGTCACCCAGGCTGGAGTGCAGTGGTGCGATCTCAGCTCACTGCAACCTCCGCCTCTCGGGTTCAAGCGTTTCTCCTGCCTCAGCCTCCCAAGTAGCTGGGATTACAGGTATGTGCCACCATGCCCGACTAATTTTGTATTTTTAGAAGAGAGGGGTTTCTCCATGTTGGTCAAGCTGGTCTCAAACTCCTGACCTCAGGTGATCTGCCCACCTCAGCCTCCCAAAGTGCTGGGATTACAGGCGTAAGCCACCGCGCCCAGCCTAGGGGCGACATTTTCATACAGCTACCACTCTGCCTGCCAGGACAATCACAGGAAGCAGAGCCCCGCTCTCCTGGAAAGCACACAGCATGAGCAAGAAACGGGCCCTGTGGCTTGAAGGTGCTGAGATCCGGAGGCTGTTTGTTACCAGAGCATGACCTGGCCTGGCCTGAGCCGCAGCTCCACAGCTGGAGGCCTACGTTCGGTGGTGCAACTCAATGGGATTAATAGACATCCCTGAGACAAAGGCCAGAGGAAACAAAGATACCAGAGGTCTGACAGCAGCAAAGAAACCAGAGCTCAGCTAGAACCAGGACAGCAGGGGCAGGAGAGACCAGTAAAGCAGGCAGGATGGCCTGGGAGGCTCCCCACCACGACCTCCAGCCCTGAAGCCGAGAGACTACAATTCACACAGTGCAGCGGCTGCAAGCAGAGAGGAGGACGCCACCCGGGCTCCAGGCTTTAACCTCAGCACAGAGCGACTCCTGCAGTGCAGGGGCCCCTGCCACCCTGGCATCTCGCCTCTGCATTCACCTTGAGCGCCTTGCCCTGGAGCTCATCGATGATTCCCCGGACCTTCCCCAGCAGGAAGGGCCAGGAGTTGATGAGGTAGATCCGGTCCATCATGATGGTGATGATGCTGTACCAGCGCTGGAAGCCCCTGGCCAGGCTGTCCTTGATGAAGAAAGTGTGGCTGAACACAAAGCCGTGCTGCTCATCTCCGAAGAAGATGGGGCCTTCGCGGCCAGGGCAGACCTGGAGGGACACCAGCGACTCAGATAGCCCTTTCCTCACTTAGTTGTACCAAATCAAAGCCGCCTCTTCAGACTTTTCAGTCAGCTGGCACAAATCAGCCAGCGTTAATAACAGGGGAGAGTGGCACGGTGGGGACCATGAGAGCTAAAGACTGTCCTCTTCTGCTCCTGTGGTCAAGCTGCCAACACCACTTGTCATCGTGGACTGCAAGGGCCAGCAACAAGGTTCACTGCTTTTTTTCCACCTTGAGCCATAAATAACTCCCATGCATATGTCACACCTCTCCCAGACTCAAATGTACCAGCTTACTCACCCGGAGCATGCAGAAGAACCAGCAGGCCAAAGCAGCCACTGCGCTCTCCCTGCACTGAAATCTGCACATTTTATTCTTTTTTTTGGGGGGAGGGAGGCAGTATGGAGTCTCGCTTGTCGCCCAGGCTGGAGTGCAGTGGCGTGATCTCGGCCCATTGCAACCTCTGTCTCCTGGGTTCAAGTAATTCTCCTGCCTCAGCTTCAAGAGTAGCTGGGATTCCAAGTGTGTGCCACCACGCCTGGCTAATTTTTTTGTATTTTTATGAGACAGGGGGTTTCACCATGTTGGCCAGGCTGGTCTTGAACTCCTGACCTCAGGTGATCTGCCCACCTCAGCCTCCCAAAGTACTGGGATTACAGGAGTGGGCCACCACACCCGGCCCCACATACTTTCTTCTTCTAAGAGGACTTCGGTCCCTCCTCACAACATACTTACTCTTCCTTAACACACAATTCTAAGACATGCTGAGCTGCCTGCTAGCAGACCAGAGGTAGCAAATTAAAAGGAGAGGACAGCTGAGGGCAGGCACACAGCCACACTGAATGAGAACAGCAAGGGAGCTCAGTGTGTCTGACTGGGTGGAAACCGATAACAAGGAAGTTTAGTAACTGAACGACGAATTCTTTTTTTTTTTTTTGAGATGGAATTTCGCTCTGTCGCCCAGGCTGCAGTGCAGTGGCGCAATCTCGGCTCACTGCAAGCTCCACGTCCTGGGTTCACACCATTCTCCTGCCTCAGTCTTCAGAGTAGCTGGGACTACAGGTGCCTGCCACCACGCCCAGATGATTTTTTGTATTTTTAGTAGAGACGGGGTTTCACCATGTTAGCCAGGATGGTTTTGATCTCCTGACGTTGTGATCCGCCCGCCTCGGCCTCCCAAAGTGCTGAGGTTACAGGAGTGAGCCACCACACCCGGCCGACGGATTCTTTGTAACAGACAAAGACCTAAGAGCTAAAGGTCAAGAGCAACAGCAGCAGCAACGTAATTTAGGAACAAATCATCCACACCTCAGCAGGCTGAGAGCAGCAGGGGACCATCACCGAGACTTGGAATGAGGACTGAGATAATAAAAAAAAGGTGATGTTGATGCAATGAACCACCTAACCAAAAATGCTTCCTATCTTAGGAATACATCCATCAAGAATGGACACACAGGGCTGGGCGTGGCGGCTCACACCTGTAATCCCAGTGCTTTGGGAGGATGAGCCAGAGGATTGCTTGAGTTTGAGACCAAACTGGGCAACATAGTGAGACCTCATCTCTACAAAAAAATTTTTAAAAGGCTGGGCACAGTGGCTCCCATCTGTAATCCCAGCATTTTGGGAGGCCGAGGCAGGCGAATCACAAGGTCAGGAGTTCGAGACCAGCTTGGCCAATACGGTGAAACCTCGTCTCTACTAAAAATACAAAAAATTAGCCGGGCATGGTGGCGCACGCCTGTAGTCCCAGCTAATCAGGAGGCTGAGGCAGAAGAAGCGCTTGAACCTGGAGTGGAGGTTGCAGTGAGATTGCACCACTGCACTCCAGCCTGGGCGACAGAGTGAGACTCTGTCTTAACAGAAACAACAAAAAATCCCCAGCTAAGCATGGTGGCACACACCAGTGGTCCCAGCCACCTGGGAGGCTGAGGCTGGAGGATCGCTTGAGCCCGGGAGTTTGAGGTTGCAGTGAACCAAGACGGCGCCACTGCACTCCAGCCTGGACGACAGGGCGAGACCCTGCCACAAAAGAAGGAAAAAAGAAAACAATAATAATAAAAGGACAAATAATAAAAGTTTGGTGCTTAAAGTGCAAAAGCTAGCACCCATTCAGAAAATGCTCGGCAAGTCCAACATGACTTCTTCTGCAATTTTGGACAACAGAGGCATCCTGTACCCTGTGCTGTGCTGATCTGCGGGTCTGCCCTTAGAGAGGACCAGTGCCTGCCTCCCTGTGCAGTGCTGACTCCGAGCCCATCCAGAGCACCTGGGAGCATATGGGCTCCCACAGAGACAGGTTCTGTGATCGCGAGGCTCACCTCACAGCTCAGGCTCCGGACACAGGCCTGGCGGACGATGCTGAAGAGCTGGGGGTGGCTGGGGTGCTGGTGGCTGACGTATTTAATGGAGGTCTCTTTATCGTGGCTGATATACCCCGGGTGCCCTGCAGCAAGTGACCGGCAGCCCTGTCCATGAAAAGGAAAAGTAAATCTGTTAGTTGGAAAGCAGGGCAACAAACTCTTAGGTTTATGCAAATCTGAGCTTGGAAAACTCAAGCTATTTTTGTATAAAAATAATTGGCTTCCAGATTTATACTTATCTGAAGATTTAAATGTTTCCTAAAGAGGAAAACAGAACACAGAGATCACAGAGATTGCCAGAGGCTGTTCCCAACAGATACTTGCTGAGCGCTTACGAAGCAGACAACATGAAAAGGGCCCTGCATGCTCCATCTCATTCAATCCCAAGTGCCACCCTCTGAGATAACGTCTGTGAGAAGCCCCATTCTACAGAAGACAAAACTGAGGCTGAGGTGAGAAGCAGCTGGCCGGAGGGTGAGGGGCTCTGTGGTGGTAGCATTACCCACTGCCCCCCAGCCTCTGTCATTGGCTCTGAAATAACACCTGGAAGGGGCCTCAGCACAGGCGAGAGGCCTAATAAGGAACAGGCCGGGCACCAAGCTCCAGGATGTTGGTGTGGCAGCTCACCCCGGCAGCCCCACTGCCTCGCTGCCCCGCTGCAGCCACCGTCACTCCGGTGCTGAGGCTGCACGCCCTGGAGCTGCCCCGACCCCAAGACTGCGTGGCAGTGCGTCAGGCAAGCCCCTCCCCACAATGTCACAGGATTCCTCCAAGGGCAACCCCAACACCAGCTCAAGGACACCCCAGCGGCCTGGCAGTGCCCTCCTTCCCCGGTCTGAGGTGCTCCCCACCCCCCATTCCTCACAGGCGTTTCCAGCAATGGACGCAGCTCTCACACGTCCTCTGCTTCTGCAGCAGAACCAAAAGAACAAGCTTGGGTTCCTGTTTGCACTGCAGTGACAGGTCTGACACTCAGCCCTGATTTCGGGCCCTGACCCAGGTCCTCCACACAAACAAGTGGCCCACGGGGGAAAACTCACACTCATTCCCAAGAGCTCGAGAGCTGATGGAGTGACCCGCCGAGAACACTGGGGGTCCTGGGAGCAGGAAACTCCGCTGGGAGCAGGAAACTCCGCTGGGAACAGGGGTCTTTGGGGACCTACCTCCAGGACAGGCTGGAGTGTGTGAATACAAACATGAAGGCCACGGCAGGGAGGCAGAGTGGGTTAAAGAAGTTAACACAGGCAGGGCATGATGGTTCACGCCTGTAATCCCAGCACTTTGGGAGGCCAAGGCAAGTGGATCACCTGAGGTCAGGAGTTCAAGACCAGCCTGCCCAATATGGTGAAACCCCATCTCTACTAAAAACACAAAATTAGCCGGGCGTGGTGGCAGCCACATGTAATCCCAGTACTCAGGAGGTTGAGGCAGGAGAATCGCTTGAACCTGGGAGGCGGAGGTTGCAGTGAGCCATGATCATACCATGGCACTCCAGCGTGGGCAACAAGAGCAAAACTCTGTCTCAAAAACAAACAAACAAACAAAAGCTACAGTCAGGACAAGCAGAAGGAACTGAAGGGCCCCTGGGAAGTAGTCTGTGTCACCCTGGGAGGCTCCATCCACTGCTCTCAGGTCCTCCCGTCCATCCCACACCTACTGCAGGGATCGCAAAACGAAGACCCCAAAGACACTTGCCTCGCACATGTCCGACTTTTTGGGCCCTGGGCTGCTGGACTCAACGCTGGCCCCCTCTGCGGGGCTGTGTGCACGCATCCGACTGCTCATCTGAATGCCGCCTTCCTCTTCCTCTGCCTGCTCGCCCTGGCCAGGACTGTCCTCATTCCCAGCCCCTTGGGGAAGTGGGGCGTGCAGGACCTCCGTGCAGAAGAGAGTGCGGGGGCCGTGGAGCTCACAGAAGTGGCAGAGAGCCACGATGGCATTCATGGTGCCTTGGAGACTGCGAGAGGCCTGCGGAGGACAGGGGACATGTCAGCTCGCCAATGCCTATTCACCCCATGAAACGTCCCCAGCCCCTCTGGAGCACAGGGAGCACCTGGGTGCCATGGTTGCCTGCCCAGGAGAGGCCACCCGCCAGTTCCCCATCCCTTTGCTTTGTCCCAGTGCTGCACTGGATGCAGGAGAGAGGAGAGGAACAGAGACAGGATCTTCCCACCGGAGTCACAGGAAACAGGGGAGGGGACGATGTGGACCAGTGATAGCACAGCTGGAGTTGTGACAGAGCCAGAGTCGCAAAGCCAACGGCACAGGGAAGGAATGTCCTCGAGTGACATGAACTGCAGCCAAACATGGCAAACCCCGTGGGAACAAACAGATAAAAGGCCACAGGGAGAGGGTCCTCCACTCAATACATATCTGCTGGGCACCTGCTCCGTGTGAGGCGAGGCGCTAGGTGACACAATGCTTCCCTCCGCAGCTTACCTCCTGCAGGGGGTGGGGGGCGGACACAGGAAAACTGCTTCCTGCGAGAGGCCCGCGTGGGGAATGACCAGAGGAGGCAGGAGCCTGGAAGGACTGGCTTACGGGCCAAGCAAGAGATGAAGGGTGGGTGCTGTACTGCCGGAGGGGTGTGTAGGGTCCGGTGTTTGGAGAGGAGCAGCAGACAGGGTGGAGGCTTTAGGAAGCAGATCTTACAGCTCCTCCAGGCCACAGAAAGACCCTGGATATGCTATCAGAGACTGGGGAGGCTTTAGGGGTTCTGATGAGACATGAGAGAATGTGAATTTCACTTGAAAAGGTTCAGTCATGCCCATGTGCAGAAAAGATGGCGGGGGCCAGGGTGGAGGTGGGGAACAAGCTGAGGCACCCTGCTGACTGATCTGAACAGGAAGGGACAGTGGCCCGGGCCAGGGTGGCAGATGGTGAAGCGGCACAGTGCGGGTGGGGGTGCAGAGTGCAGAGGAGGAGTGAGCAGGGGAGGAGGCTCAGTGAGTGCCTGCCAAGCCTTCACGGGGACAGGCCACTGCAGCAGAGCCAAGCGCTGCAGTCAGGGATGGCACGTGGGACCTCTGTGGAGTGCAGCCCTTGCAGGCTCAGAGGTGGAGAAGGGAGGACAGCTAGCCAAGGTGACCAAGCTCAGGCAGTGAGGCCAGAAGGGAGCTCCAGGGTCACCCCAGTGACCAGGTGAACAAACTACTTTAGCAAGGTGGGACTGGAATGTCACATGGCCTTAAAAAGGAAGGAAACCCTGCCACAGCTATGGCACGGCTGAACCTGGAGGACATTACGTCAAGTGATCTACACTGGTCACAAACAGATAAAAACTGTAGGATTCCACTTAAATATGAGGTACCTAGAGCCCTCAAAGCCAGAGAGACAGAGAGCGGAATGGCGGCTGCCAGGGGCAGAGAGGGAAGAGCAGGGCACAGTTCTAGAGATGGAAGGTGGCGATGGCTGCACAGCACTGTGAACATACTTCATGCCACGACACTGCACGCCCAACAGTGGTTCAAATGGCGCATTTTAGGTCATGTATTATTTCACCACAATCTTTTAAAAAGGGGGAATGGTAACCTGCAGAACAATGATGAGGTCAAAGGTGACCTTAACACAGTTTCCGGTGGAGAAAAAGCTCACGGGAGTGGGTAGAAAGAGCCCTTTGGAGAGTTTCTGTGGCAGAGCCAGCAATGGGACACCTGGTGCGGACATGGAGTCAAGGGAAGCCCCAAGCTTGGCCACAGTATGGCTGGGATGCTGGCGGAGCCATGCAAAGGCCAAGGGCAGCTACAGGCACAAAGTCTGAGGGACACCACACACACACTGCAGAGGGCTGGCCGCGGCGGCATCCATATACCTTCCTAACGGATGCAGGAAAGCCAGAGAAGGCTTTACAATGGGGGTGTGTCATGGGGTTCTGACAGGCAGAGAAGTTCGGGAAACGAGACCGCAGAAGCAAAGGTGCACAGTGGGGACAGCCACAGCCAACAGCCTAACATGTGACACAGCCTGACACATGCAGCCAGACCCACACTGTCCATATGGTGGCCACAGCCATGTGTGACAACTTAAATTTAAAATGTAAATTAGCTAGGAGAGGCCGGCACAGTGGCTCACGCCTGTAATCCCAGCACTTTGGGAGGCCAAGGTGGGTGGATCACTTGAGGTCAGGAGTTTGAGACCAGCCTGGACGAAGCGGTGAAACCCTGTCTCTATTAAGAATACAAAAATTAGCCAGGCGTGGTGGTGTGCACTGGTAGTCCCAGCTACTCAGGAGGCTGAGGCATGAGAGTCACTTGAAGCCAGGAGGCAAGGTTGCAGTGAGCCGAGATCGCATCACTGAACTGGAGCCTGGGCAACAAACTGAGACTCGGTCTCAAAAAAAAACCCCAAAACAACAAAAACAAAACAAATTAAAACAAAAAACTTAGCTGGGCGTGTTGGCAGGCACCTATAAACCCAGCTACTTGGGAGGCTGAGGGAGGAGAATTGCTTGAACCTGGGAGGTGGAGGTTGCAGTGAGCCAAGATCACATCACTGCACTCCAGGCTTTATGACAGAGCAAGACTCCGTCTCCAAAAAAAAAAAAAAAAAAGAGCCTGGGCCGGGCGCGGTGGCTCAAGCCTGTAATCCCAGCACTTTGGGAGGCCGAGACGGGCGGATCACGAGGTCAGGAGATCGAGACCATCCTGGCTAGCACAGTGAAACTCCGTCTCTACTAAAAAATACAAAAAATTAGCCGGGCGAGGTGGCGGGCGCCTGTAGTCCCAGCTACTCGGGAGGCTGAGGCAGGAGAATGGCGGGAACCCGGGAGGCGGAGCTTGCAGTGAGCTGAGATCCGGCCACTGCACTCCAGCCCCGGCGACAGAGCGAGACTCCGTTTCAAAACAAAACAAAACAAAACAAAAAAAAAGTAGCCTGGAGTGGAGGCGCACGCTTGTAGTCCCAACTACTCGGGAGGCCAAGGCAGGAGAATCACTTGAACCTGGGAGGTGGAGGTTGCAGTGAGCTGAGATTGTACTACTACACTCCAGTCTGGGCAACAGAGTGAATGAGACTTAATCTCAAAAAAATTAAATAAAAGGCCGGGTGTGGTTGTTCATGCCTGTAATCCCACACTTTGGGAGGCCGAGGTGGGCAGATCACTTGAGGTCAGGAGTTCGAGACCAGCCTGGCCAACATGGCAAAACCCCATTTCTACTAAAAGTACAAAAAAATTAGCCAGGCGTGGTGGCGCACACCTGTAGTCCCAGCTACTCAAGAGGCTGAGGCAGGTGAATTGCTTGAACCCAGGGGGTGAAGGTTGCAGTGAGACAAGACTGTGCAACTGCACTCCAGCCTGGGCGACAGCGAGACTCCATCTCAAAAAAAATAAATAAATAAAATAAAATAAATAAATACATTAATAGGACAAAAGTTCAGCCCTTCTGTCTCACTGGCCATGTCCTGAGTGTTTGCTAGGCACACGCAACTCATGTCACCCCTCTGAACAGCCCAGGTCACAGAATATTTCTGCCTTCACAGAAAGCCCCATTGGTCAGTCAGACTTGCTTGGGATGATGAAGAATCATGTAAGTTTCTGAATGTTTGACTGAGTAGTGGACACTGGCCAGGACTCAAAGCCTCTTCTCTTCTGGGGAGCCCCCACCCCCATTACGGATCCAAAAGTCAGATGTTCTGTCTTCACTCCTGACAGGCAGGCTGTGGACACAAACAAGACATGGCCTGCCAAAACTGCTAACTCTAGGAAGAAGCGAAGTCAGAATGTGCACGGTGTGGGGGGCGGGGGGGGGGCTGCCATCAGCCTCCCTGCCAGTGGCCCATGCCTGGAACTGTTTCTCCAGCGTGCCCATGAATGCTGCCACCCACCTGACGTTTCTGCAGTTGGCTGCTCAGCTGGCACGAGCTGCTCCAGCACCTGTCCTCCTCCCTGAGATACAGCTGAGCACGAGTGGTCACACTGGGAACGGCAGAGGCAGACAGAAAACAGACATTTGAAGAGAACCTTAGCTGGGCTGGCAGTGAGGCAGGTGTGGGAGTCAGAGAGGGAGACCCTGAGTATGGCTGGCAGGGAACGCAGGGCTGGTGCTCTGTAGGTGCACTCTGAGAGGGAGGCAGGCAGGCGGCGGGAGAGGAGACGTACAGCATTTAACAGACAGCAGAACTTCTAGCTGGAAGGCCCTGAGGACTCAGCAAAGATGCAGGCTGCAGGACAGGAGAGGGCAGGGCTGGGGACAAAGGTCAGGAATGCTCCACACACCTTCACCTGGCTCACTCCTCACCACTCGGCCTCCACTTGCAGGTCCCCTGCTCAGAGGACCCCCTGCCAGCCCACCAGAAGGGTTCCCCTCTACCCCTCCACCCTCCCCGGTCCTGCTTTGAGTCGTAGTGCTCCTCATCGCAGAACTGCGCCTCCAAAGTGCCTTCCTGACACACAGGAGGCACCAAATTCACGTGTTAAATGAGAGGACTGAGAAGTTGCCCTCGGAAAGATGAGAGCTGTTGCCAAGAAAGGGGCAGAATCTAGGGGCGGCAGAGGTTCAGGAGCCACAGCTGTGGGGTAGGCCGGAGCCCGAGTCTAGTGGCACAGGAACCAAACAGACAGAGTTTCAATAAGGGCCCACAGGGCTCACTATGGTGAGTGGCTTAACAATCTACTGCTCAAGAGGAGATGGGGCGACCACTGATGGAATAAGGGGTAGCAGGACCCAAAGGAAAGGTAAAGGCATTAAATACCGAAAAAGGAGGCCACGCCTTCCTCTGAGAGGCATCGGGGAAGAGAAACAAGGTTCCTTCTAGCAAGACATGCACAGGACAGCAAGCCTGGGCCAAGTCTCAGCCCACCTGCAGAGCACCCACACTAACCTGACATTCAGCAGAATCACACTTCCACCGTCCACACCAGACCAGCACACACGAGGCTGCAGCCAAATGGGTCAGGCATGGTGGCGGCAGACATCCTTGAAGACCTCGCGTTTTCTAGGTAAGAGAAAAAAAAATAGAGCTAATTCTAAGATTAGAGGCCTTCATAGCATGAAAAATAATGGGAGTAGTTTACAGCCAGTCTCAAGTAAGTATATCTCCGATGAGGATGTAGACACTCCCCAGGGTTCTGAATGGCTTAGCAGGCCTCTCACCTTCTGAGCAGGAGCTGATATTTTAGATGACTCTTGCACCTCTGAAGCACTCTAACCCAGTATTTGCTCAAGGATCTCTGTATTTATTTTTTCAGAGATAGGGTCTTGAGGCCAGCTCAGTGGCTCATACTTGTAATCCCAATACTTTGGGAGGCCAAGGCAGGAGGATTGCTTCAGCCCATGAGTTCGAGATCAGCCTGGGTAACAAAGTGAGACCCTGTCTCTGCAAAAAAATTTTTTTTTAAATTAGCCGGGCCGGGCACGGTGGCTCACGCCTGTAATCCCAGCACTTTGAGAGGCCGAGGCAGGCGGATCACGAGGTCAGGAGATCAAGACCATCCTGGCTAACACAGTGAAACCCCGTCTCTACTCAAAATACAAAACAAAATCATCCAGGCATGGTGGCAGGCACCTGTAGTCCCAGCCACTCGGGAGGCTGAGGCAGGAGAGTGGCGTGAATCTGGGAGGCACAGCTTGCAGTGAGCCAAGATCATGCCACTGCACTCCAGCCTGGGCGACAGAGCGAGACTCCATCTCAAAAAAAAAAATTAGCCGGGCATGCCTCTAGTCCAAGCTACTTGGGGGACTAAGTTGGGAGGGTCACTTGAGCCTGGGAGGTCAAGGCTACAGTGAGCCGTGACTTTATCACTCCAGCCTGGATGACCGAGCAAGTCCCCATCTTTCTTTTTTTTCCCTTTTTTAAGACCAAGTTTCACTCTTGTCGCCCAGGCTGGAGTGCAATGGCGCAATCTCAGCTCACTGCAACCTCTGCCTCCTGGGTTTAAGTGATTCTCCTGTCTCAGCCTCCCGAGTAGCTGGGATTACAGGTGCCTGCCACCATGCCTAGCTAATTTTGTATTTTAGTAGAGACAGGGTTTCACCATGTTGGCCAGGCTGGTCTCAAACTCCCGACTTCAGGTGATCCACCCACCTTGGCCTTCCTAAGTGCTAGGATTATAGGCGTGAGCCATTGCACCCAGCCAAGTCCCCATCTTTCTTACTCTTGGTTATAAGGGTGTGCTCTGGCAGCACCTATATCACACCAACTTACCTTTCAGGCCATAGGCCTGGCAGTTTCCTTCTCAAGCAAGAGAGGGAAACCAGAGGCAATGTTGACAAGCCACTTCCCAGCATTCAGCACCAACATGGGCTATTCTTTTTTCTTTTTTATTTTTGTGGCAGGGTCTCATTCTGTTGCCTAGGCTACAGTGCAGTGCTGTAATCTCGGATCACTGCCACCTACACCTCCCAGGTTCAAGCGATTCTCCTGCCTCAGCTTCCCGAGTAGCTGGAATTAGAGCCACGTGCCACCAGGCCCAGCCAATTTTTGTATTTTTAGTAGAGATGGGGTTTCGCCATGTTGGCCAGGCTGGTCTTGAACTCCTGACCTCAGGTAATTCTCCCGCCTCAGCCTCCCAAAGTGCTGGGATTACAGGCGTGAGCCACCATGTCAGGTCAAAACATAGGCTACTCTTATTAGTTTTTCCTTTTAATGAAAAGCACTTGCTAGGCTTGGTGGTTTAAGCCTGTAATCCCAGCACTTTGGGAGGCCAATGGGGGGATCACCTGAGGTCAGGAGTTCGTGACCAGCCAGGTCAATATGGTGAAACCCTGTATCTACTAAAAATACAAAAATTGCCAGGCGCGGCGGCTCATGCTTGTAAACCCAGCATTTTGGGAGGCCAAGGCAGGCAGACCATGAGGTCAGGAGTTTGAGACCAGCCTGACCAACATGCTGAAACCCCATCTCTACTAGAAATACAGAAATTTGCCAGGCATGGTGGTGGGTGCCTGTAATCCCAGCTACTTCGGAGGCTGAGGTAGGAGAACTGCTTGAACCTGGGAGACGGAGGTTGTAGTGAGCCAAGATCGCACCACTGCACTCCAGCCTGGGCAACAAGAGCAAAACTCCATTTCAAAAAATACAAAATACAAAATACAAAAATTAGCCAGGCCTTGTGGCGCATGCCTATAGTGCCAGTTACTCAGGCGGCTGAGGCAGGAGAATCGCTTGAACTTGGAAGCAGAGGTGGCAGTGAGCCGAGATCGCACCACTGCACTCCAGCCTGCGTGACAGAGTGAGATTCTGTCTCAAAAAAAAAAAAAAAGAAAAAGAAAAAAGCACTTGTCAGACAAGAGCTCCGACTCTGACTCCATGGATCACGCACGCCAGAGACCCAGGCAGCCCCTGAAAGAGAGGGAGATGCCCTAGAGAACATTTAGCTTTGCGGTCACTGGAGCCTGCCCTCACCAGCCAGGTGACACCAAATGTTACTAGACCTCTCTGAATACCACCCAAGAGCTGAGAAACAAACACCTCTCAAGATTCGCATTACACATGGAATCAGAATTCTGGGCAGCGTGAGGTCATTCTTTACTCACTGGTCAATCCCAATCTCTAGGAGGTGTTTGCTTAAGAAAACAAACTGATTTGAATATGTCTTACGAGTCTGTTTCCAGCAAGCTTTCCAGAACCCACAGAGGAAGCCGAAATCCCCTGGGTGACAGTCTCTTCATCATCACACCCAAAGACAGTATTCAAGTTCCCTGATGTGGTAGAGTGTCTGTCCATGTCCTCCTCCCACAATAGCTGTGTCCCAGACCTGGACAGTGACCTCACCACCACCCGTGGTGCACCCTGACCCTGGCCCATTTCACCCCTACTTCCTATGCTCTTCTCATAGCACCGCGGAGGATTAGAGGCCACTAAGGGCACTGTAAATAAACAAGGCACTATAACAGATCTTAACCAGCAGTGGACACACAGCTTCTAGAACTAGTCTCCCACTGGGGAGCCTCATTAAGTCAGCAGCTGGGATCCCAACAAGCCCAGGGTGAAAAGTTCTGCAGGGGATGACTGCCAGCTCAGACCCACTCTCACTGTGGCTCTATTTCCACCGTTTCCCTGGATTTCCATTCACAGAGCTCCCTGACATAGGACACTAGAAGGGCAAACACAGTGTCACCTGCCACTATTACTCAATTACTTGATGACCACGGTGATAATCTGGCACTAAACTGGTTGTGGCCAAAGACTGGAGAGCCAGAACCTACTTCCACTAAGTTCCTCCTTGCCCTGCGTCCCCATTTGAAGAGACTGCTGCTGACCACACCTTGGACTTCAATCCACAAGCCAATCCATTCTTTCCAGGTGACAAGGACGCATCTCACAGTACGCTCCACTGGAGAGAAGCGCGGTCTTCCACCCTCCCTGGAGGACACGGTGCTACCCTATTAGCTCATCAGAGGACCCTCCTGAACGCCAAACTGAGAGAAGAGCATGACACACACCCTCTCCTCCAGAACGAAGACAAAACCTGGGAGAAGGAAAGGGAAACAGTCCCGTTTCACGGCAAGATCAAATGAGACTAAATCAACGACCCTAACCCGGGGTTTGAACCCAGGTCACAGTCCTCATCCCCAGAAACTTGGTTAATGGGCGTGCCCCCAACCTATCTTCAAATCTCAGGGTCTCGGCGACGCCCTGGACTCTGGCCCTAAACCCTCCCCCATTACTGGTCCACCTGGGACCAACGCAAACTCGGACATGCCCCTCCGCCAAACCCTCAGACCCCCGCCGACCTGCTCCCCGAATCGAGGCCCGCGGGACACCTGGACTCGGCAGCCGGGGTCCCGCTCCGGGTCTCAGCCCCGCCCCTGACTGCGCTGGGTAGGTGGTCGCTGCGGGTCCCAGACAGGCGGGATCACACACAGAGCCCCCGAGCCCACGGCCGGAACGTCAGCCGGGGTGGCGAGGCTCTCAAGCCCCGGTTCAGGCTCTCGGGGAGCTGGCAGAACCAAGAGTTACCACACTCACTCGCGGCCCGACATCCCCGCCGAGACCCAGGCGCGTGACTCTCTGGGCCGTAACACCACCCAGCCCTGCGGTGGGGGTGCAGGCGCCGTCCGAGCGCGTCCTGCACCGCGAGGAGAGCCGAGCCTCGCCAGCTCCCGCAAGCCCAGGAACACAGTCCGAGTACCGCAACTCCGAGGTCTGACGGGGAAGCAGGGGCCGCTGCCCGACAACTACCCTTTTCCGCCGCCCCTATTCCGGTGCCCCCCCCCGGGGAACTTCCCAATGGTTCAGACCGCACCGGCCGGGGATGCTGGGGGAAACCATTTCATTAAGCGCGGGAGTATGCTGAAACTTAAAAAGCATTTCGAAAAGAGATTTGAGGGTAAATATAATCAACGTAAGGCTCCCTGTCCACATAAAAGAGAAAAATAAAGAAAAAACGTTATAAGGGGTTGTCAGGCTTTTTTTTTTTTTTTTTTGCTTCACCAATGGTTTGTATTACGTTGCTGATGGAACCCGGCCTCTCCCTATATTGAGAGTATGGAAGGTGCGGGCGACAGCCGTCACGTGATGCGGGGAAGGCGCGGCGCCCGGGGGAGGTTGGTTGCGGAACTGGGGATCGGTGTGCGCGCGCATGTTTGGTATTCGGTCTTCCTTCCTCAGTACTTCTTAAAAATGTGAAAATCAGTTATTGAATAATATTCTTCTTTTGAGACGGAGTTTCGCTCTTGTTGCCTAGGCTGGAGTGCAGCGGGGCGACCTCGCCTCACTGCAACCTCCGCCTCCCGGGTTCAAGCGATTCTCCTGCCTCAGCCTCCCGAGTAGCTGGCGTTACAGGCGTCCGCCACCACGCCCGGCTAATTTTTTTGTATTTTTTGCAGAGACGAGGTTTCACCCTGTTGGCCAGGCTGGTCTTGAACCCCTCACCTCAGGTGATCCACCCGCCTCGGCCTCCCAAAGTGCTGGGATTGCAGGCTTGAGCCACCACGCCCGGCCTGAATAATATTTTTTAAAACTTGAGCGCTTATTACTAAATTTATCTACTTAGAAGTTAATTGGAAAGACATTAGTTCGTGATGTAGTGTGGGTCGTTCCAGCGAAGACCGGAGGGAGACGGGAATCGGAGCCTGACCCGCCTGCGCGCGCTGCCCCCTGGGGTGCGGCCGCCGGGGAGCCTTCCGCCGCGGCAGAGGCTGTGGTTGCCGCAAGGTCTCCAGAATGTGCTCACCAGGAATACAATAGAAAAATGGGTGGTTGTGTTTTTGATATCACAGAGGTCACTTTTTTTTCCCTTTTAAATTTCCTTGTTTTGGCCGGGCGTGGTGGCTCACGCCTGTAATCCCAACACTTTGGGAGGCCGAGGTGTGCGGGTCACGCGGTCAACACGAGGTCAAGAAATCGAGACCGTCCTGGCCAACAGGTGAAACTCCGTCTCTGCTAAGAATACAAAAAAAATTACCTGGGCGTGGTGGCGCACGCTTGTAGTCGCAGCTGCTCGGGTGGCTGAGTTAGGAGAATTGCTTGAACCCGGGAGGCAGAGGTTGCAGTGAGCCGAGATCATGTCTCTGCACTCCAGCCCGGTACAGAGCGAGCCTCCGTCAAAAAAAAAAAAAAATTCCATGTTCTGTTGAAAAAGGGACACGAGAAAAGAACGAAATTGCAGTTTGTGTTTTCTGCCGTCTTATAGTAGCCTGGTAAAGATTAAGGAATATGGGGTGGCGTTACGAGGTTAGGCATTGCCTTTATGTGTTTAATTATTCTTACCAAGTGAATTCCTCCCGCTGTTGGACAGCGCAAACTTAATTTGTGAGGAGGTAGTAAGTTACCACAGGGTTATTTTATTTTATTTTATTTTATTTTATTTTACTTTATTGTATTGTATTTTACTTTATTTTATTTTTTTTTAATTTTATTTTCAGTTTGTTAGTGGAGGTCACCACCTTGCTCAGATTATCCTTATTTCCATGGTGATAGGCTACTGGAGTAAGTTTATTCAACCACTGCATTTTCAGTAAAAGGCAATGTGCCTTCACCACAGCTGGGCTCAATTTAGGCCATTAACATCTTTCCCATCACCACTGGCTTCAGCCACCTACCTCTTTTGGAGGTACTTTCTCAAACCTATAAATCTTAAAAACAAAATTAACAACTGCCAAATCTTTGCCTCAGTGAATTGTACTAAAGGTTAGTTAAATTGGGCTCTCATGGGGTATAACCTTTCAAGGACATGCAACAAAAGGGACATCTTAGAATTAGGAAAATGTACCCATTCTCATGGGAAAGAATCGAAACTCAGCAGTAATGTTCAGAAAGCACAGATATCAATAATGTTCAACCATTCACAACCAAATGAAATGCAATGCTAATCTCAAAGCTTCTATCCCATAGTGGAAATTGTATGAAATGATTCCAGAAGCTCTGGATATGTTACTGCCTGGCACACATACAATCCAGAACGTGATTTTTCCACCACTGAAGTAGGCTCAATCAGAATTAAGATTTCTTGATGCTTTTCTGTCTTCTTACTACTACTGCTAAACCAAGAGGCTTCATTACAGCTAAGTATCCAAACTGATCAATCACTTCCAAGCTATCAGTTGCCAGTACCATAGAGCCAAGTGGTGGGAAAGAGTCACATCTCATTCAGAAATTTCTTTTAGAGTTTTTTATATGTACCCTTAGCCACAGGAGCTCTGATGTAGCTGTGGGATAGACCTGGGCTTTATCTTTCAGTCAAACCACATGTCAATGACTCTTAGTTTCCAGTTTCAGGAAGAAGAGGTGTATTTCATTTATAAGCATTTCAATTTAATATTTTTAATCACATCTCATCATTTTAAAGTGACTATAATGGATTCCCTGTTACAAAAATTGTGATCTAAGCTTTTGTTTCTTCCAGCGACTGAGAAAACATTCCGTTTTTAGATGTTTTGAATAGTTTAGGAGTCTGGCCAGCTGCTGAAAGGAAGCAAGCAATGAGTAACATCTCAGAAGGTGAGATTCATACACAATTTTTTTTTTTTTTTTTTGCGACGGGAGTCTCGCTCTGTCACCCATGCTGGAGTACAGTGGCGCCATCTCCACTCACTGCAAGCTCCACCTCCCGGGTTCAAGCCATTCTCCTGCCTCCGCCTCCCGAGTAGCTGGGACTACAGGCGCCCGCCACTGCGCCTGGCTAATTTCTTTTTGTATTTTTAGTAGAGACGAGGTTTCACTATGTTAGCCAGGATGGTCTGGATCTCCTGACCTCGTGATTCGCCCGCCTCGGGCTCCCAAAGTGCTGGGATTACAGGCGTGAGCCACCGCGCCCGGCCACAATTTCTTTTATATATATATATATTTTTGAGACGGAGTCTTGCTCTGTTGCCAGGCTGGAGTGCAGTGGCGTGATCTCAAGTCACTGCAACCTCTGCCTCCTGGGTTCAAGCAGTTCTCCTTCCTCAGCCTCCCAAGTAGCTGGGACTACAGGCACATGCCACCAGGCTCAGCTAATTTTTGTATTTTTAGTAGAGATGGGGGTTTCACCATGTTGGTCAGACTGGTCTCGAACTCCTGACCTCGTAATCTGCCCTCCCAAAGAGCTAGGATAACAGGTGTTAGCCACTGCACCCAGCCCATGCACAATTTCTAAATTCAGGTTTTAGGTAATTAGACAATCCATTCTGCACATAAGGCATCCGGTCAGTTGTGAGATATGAATTATTAGTGGTCCAATAAAGGCGATTAGTATTAATTTAATATTTCTTACCATAGCAATTTCTGTAAGCTTTTAAAAATTAACCTCTCTCCACCAATTAGAATTCATCTGCTATGCCTTTTGTGTTTTAATCTACTGCTAGGTGCCTATTAAATACCAAGTGTAGAAAGTTTAACAGTCAACTATAGAGCCAGTCTATGGATTCAGACTTATTAAATGTTTTTGCAATTAAAGTTCTCTGATTTCAGCCTTTGATGTCAGGAAAGGATACAGATAGGATTTTGTCTTTGTTCACTATCGTTAAGTAATTCAATTTACTTAAAAAGCCATCACATTTTCTTATTCACAGATACCTGATTTACCTAGTCATTTTCTCTGGCCCCTTTGCAGCTGCTCAGACTTTGGTGCAAATAACATCACCTTCCACAAAGTGGGTACTAATTCAGGTTGGAACCCAGAAACTTAGGACTTACAAACTCAAAACTTCATTTTTGTTTTGTGATTTTTGTTTTTTTTTGAGACGGAGTCTTGCTCTGTTGCCCAGGCTGGAGTGCAGTGGTGCGATCTCGGCTCACTGCAACCTCCGCCTCCCGGATTCAAGCCATTCTCCTGCCTCAGCCTCCCAAGTAGCTGGGACTACAGGCACACGCCACCACGCCCGGCTAATTTTTCATATTTTTAGTAGAGATGGGGTTTTACCACGTTAGCCAGGATGGTCTCGATCTCCTGACCTCATGATCTGCCCACCTTGGCCTCCCAAACAAAGTGCTGGGATTACAGGCGTGAGCCACTGTGCCTGGCCGATCTGATGGTTTTTAAAATGGGAGTTTCCCTGCACAAGCTCTCTGTTTGCCTGCTGCCATTCATGTAAGATGTGACTTGCCTCCCACCATGACTATGAGGCCTCCCCAACCACCTGGAACTGTAAGTCCATTAAGCCTCTTTTGTAAATTGTCCTGTCTCAGGTGTGTCTTTATCAGCAGCACAAAACTAGACTAATACAGATGACATGGAGAAGATCTGGCACCACACCTTCTGCAGTGAGCTGCATGTGGCCTCAGAGGAGCACCCAGTGCTGCTGA